GGCCAAGTTGGTTGTGAGGTGCCAGGTGCTTGCCACATTGGCTGCCTGTCCACGATGTAGGGAAATGGCCAGGCACCTAGGTTTCTCCTAACGTAGGTTCCCATGAAGGCAGCAAGGACGCATGGCAGGCTTCTCTAGACATGTGCAGCCATACCGAGACTCCCCCAGTGGTGGCAGGCTGGCTGGTTTGGGGCTTGCCAGGCAGGTGCAGGGGCTTGGCTGGCTAGTTCTCCAGGCCTATGCTGCCTACTAATCTCCAGTGGTGGGTGGCGGGTTGGCAGGGATCATGGCTGGCTGCTATTTCTAGCCTGCACTGGCTACTGGTCCCCAGTGATAGCTCACAGACTTGTGGGGACATGGCTGGTTGGTTCTCCTGGTCCATCATGGCTACTGGTCCCCAGTGGTAGATGGCAGGTTGGTGGGGGTGTGGCTGGCTGGTTCTCCCAGCCTGCCTTAGCTACCAGTCCCAATGGTCACATCTAGCAAATCTTATACCAGGGGACAATGAGCTGAAGTGATCTTCTCCAAGTACAGTGTGGCATGAAAAGGGTTAGGATCATACATGATGCTGAAGACTATCTTTTACTTGTATTCACACAAAGCCAAGCAAGTAAACAGAAGTACTCATCTGGGTAACTAAGTCTCTTTTCACATACCTGAATATCAGATACTTCACCAATGTAAAAGTGATGCCTTTTATATTCTTTTAGATTGTGATTCTACATAGAACTGGAGAGACACTCTGAAGGTCAATAATGCCTTAATAAAGATAAGTGAGTTAAATTAACCTGATGCTTATTACAGCTACAGCTTACATAGTTGTAACTTTCTGACAACTGTCCATCAAGAGAGGGATATTTTTTCTAAGGAAATTATATGTTCTAACCCCATCCACCAAAAGTATAATGTATAGGGACTATTTTGATGAGGCAATGGCACTAGCTTTTACCATGATCCCAATTTACTGAGTGACCCTGTAATTCACAGTGTTAATAAAAAGAAAGTAAAAACTTAAAGTCCATGAACATAATTTCATACCATCACTTACCAATTTGTTTTCCATGTGTAACATAGAATAAGCATGTGCCTAGACAGACATGCAAGTTACATGGGCCTGCACCAAGTGAAGTGATTGAGATAATTACTCAATTTATGAAACTTAATATCTTATCCTTGCCTCAACTATTTAATGCCTGTGTGAATTATCTACAGGCTCAAAAATATAATGATGTCATTTCTATTTGGCACCATGTGATTAGTTGAATGACTATCTTTTTTAGTAATTATCATTTCATATGTAATCCACAGAACCAAATCCATGATGTATTTCCAAATCCATTTTCATCACCTTATGCTTAACTGGCACTGTGTCCATTTATATTCCAGAGTATTTAATGAAAGTAGCAAAGTTGGGTTATATGGTATATAGTCATCAAGGAATTGACATGATAGCAATAATAAAAACATCATTCACTGGGATTGGTTAGTGTCACATTCAATGGCTTTGATAATGACATACATTATTCACACTGAAACCGTAAGAGAAAAGTGTATTACCATTTAGTTTTTAAAACAACAAAAATGATTCTCATATTTTGGTTAAGTGGTAGAACTGACACTTATATAGCTTCAAGTTTCAGAAGATTTAACGATGGGAAAAATGCTCACCATTTAATACAGTGTATTGTGTGTGCATGTGTGTGTATTGTGTATTTTTACACATACATAAAATGACAATTTACTGAATCCACAAGGGGCTAAACGTACCTGAAAAATAACCTGCTCAACTATTAACAATTCACTGATGGTAATGAGTGATTTGTTCCTCCTGTCAGTGATTTTTGTGTGGTTGCCAAAGTCTAGTAAAATGAATGTGTATCATTTTGAGAATCTGAAAATGCTATGAACAATGTTTAAAAAATTGTTCTACAAGTTACAGAAAATGTAACAGATCAATTGCCATAAAATAAGCAAAAAAAGGAAAAGGACTATCTTCCTAAACCAAACCATTCAGACCCACTAATTCACAGAGGCTTTCTCCTAATACTTAAGAATCAGTTAATTCCAGTTGTCTGTAAAGTGTTTCAGAGAAACATTTCCCAATTAGACTTTCTGAGATGGTGGAAACGTCCCACAGGCCCAGCCAGGTTGCTGCCACATGCCATGTGGCTACTGTGTATGGGAACAGAACTTTCAAACTCACTTTATTACAATTAAACTTGAAGGGCCATGCATGCATAGTGACTGCCACGTGGGACACCACAGCTCTAGACTACAGAAAACGGAGACAGCTAGACAAGTCTTCATATAAACCCAGAATAACCACTATCCAACCTGACAAAAGTATAAACTATTGGCACATTTGACATTCAAAAGCTAAGATAAAAAATGAATAATATAGCAAATAATAACAAATATAATCCAAGATAAATGAAAGGAATAGAGTATACTTGAAAAATGAGAACGATTAAATGTTGCAAAACCCATTAATATAGCCCATTCTTTTTAATAGTAAAAAACAGAAAATGTAAAGCATAGCTATTTAACAGAAATTTGGATTCAACATTCATTTTTATTTTTTTGGTACCAGGGTTTGAATTTACAACCTTATGCCTGCCAGGCAGGCACTGTGCCCCAGAGCTATATTCCCAGGATCCTAAACATTCATTTTTAATTAAACACTCTTACTAACAAGTTGACATTTCTGATATTATATTTTTATAACAGAATAAATGTATATCTTAACTTAGAAGACATGAGTAAATAACAAAATGGAAAATGATACAAATAATTTCACTAAACTAAGGATGGTCCCGCAAAAACTACATGAAAAGAAGTTTACAATTTATTATTTCAGGTTTTTTGGTTTCTTAGAAAAGCTAATGCATTTTGAAACACAGTATGATTAAAATTTGAAACAACTAAATTGTTACTGTGTTACTAATGCAACCCTAATAATTTAATATATATACAATCACACTGCAATGCAGTAGTCAAGAACATGACTGCGATTCAGTTGTTGGTTTTATTGGAGACTAGATATGTGACCATTCTGCCATCAGTGTCCTTATCTGTAGGAGGATAATAAAATTTCCTATTATAGTTATTAAGAGGATTAGATATGCAAATTTATATAAAGTTCTTTGGTACCCAAGTATATTATAAATATTAGGCATCATTAAGGCAATAATAATAAAGCAATTAGTAATGTAAAATACTCAAAAATTTAAACCTTTATATATGCAAAAAATTTATAGTAGCCATATAATAAATGCCTAAAAATAAACAAATATGCAGGATTAGCAAGAGTATTTTAAAATGCTTCTCAACACAAGAAAAAGACCTGAGAATATTACACTTAGATAGAAAGTCTCAATATAAAGTTATACATTTTAAGTATTCTGTAAATTTTAACTGATACAGTGGTTCTAAATTCAAATGAAGATAAAACATGAAAAAGACAGAACAATTTAAAAAAGAAAGCATGAAAGGCTAAGCGACACATTATAATTCTACAGTCCTCTGAACTATATGGTACTGGAGTAAGAATGGACAGACTAATGGTCCTATTAAGAGAGCATAGGAATCGAATGGGTATTTAATAAGCTAAATGAGGATATTGCATATGCAGGAGAAAAGATTCAATGAATAACAGTTTCAAAAATGGTAGGCCATCTGAAAATAGGTGTGTTAGTTCTGTACTTTATACGAAAGTGCTCTAAGAGTCACAAAAATGAAATAAAAACGTGGTAGACGAAAATACAAGCATTTTTCAGCAGTCTGAGCCTTTGGATGATCTTATGCAATACTTGGGAGCTATATAAAAAGACTACTAAGCTTAGTTACAGAAAAACCTAAAATGTGTGCATGGCAAAAAGCAACATAAATAAAATCAAAGATAATGATAAACTGAGAGAGAAAACTGAATTGCGTATCACAAAGAAAGGTTAATTTCTTTGCTAATAAAGACTTTCTGCACATTAAAGAGAAAATGACCCAACAATTGAGGTGAAAACTGATCAAATAATATAAACAGATGCTATATAAAAAATCTTAAATTTTTTCTATTATACTTGAAAATGTTTTCTATTATACTTGAAATGTTTGCAACACAAACAATGTGATGATTATTCTTTTGTTTTACTTTTTTACTTTTTTTGTTTTGCAGTGTCAAGGATTAAACTAAGGGTATCTTGTACGACAAGTTAAGTGCTCTACCACTGAGTTATATATCATATACTCTTAGCTCCAAAAAATTGTAACAGTTTTAATTTATAAAATCACACCCAACAAGCAGTTCTAACTATTTCTTACATGCTATTGGCTGAAGTATAAAGTAATCCAACACTTTTTGGCAGATAATTTGCCAAGAATTGTTATTTTAAGCTCTGAATACATATGCAATTCTCCTAGCAAATTAAATTTGATAGGATCTACTTTACATACAAATGTGCTAAGTATCATGGTGCATTTTGTTTTGTAACAGAAAACATGGCCAATAATAGAAGTTAGTTAAATAAACGTGACAATTATACAGCTAGTGAAATTAGAAATGAGATTGGTTTGTGTGCTGATACGCATCAAATTCCAAGGTAATCTCTCAGATAAAGTGAGAAAGAGGAAAACAATTAAATGTCATATAATTTTATTTAAAAAAATTTGTATACATAAATATATGCATCACACTATTAGCATAATCTCACCTAACTTCCCTGTCTCCCTTTATTCTGTGCTTCAATATTTGTCCACAAAAAGAACAGTGGGAATGCTGGCAAATCATGAGGCTATTCTATAATACTAATAAACAGGAAAATATGTGCATTTGGGAATTGTCTGAAAACTATGCAAGAAATGTTAATGTTTTTGCTGAGTAGAGGGATGAGAAGTAATTTTGTTTCTGTCTTGGTGTTTTTCTGCAGCTTTCAAAGTTTACACAGCAACGTGTATTGCTTTTGCAATAATGTTAAGTTTTTTGTTTGTTTTAACTTTTTCGTACTCACCTGGTTCCTGTCCCTGGCATTTGCATATCGAAACCTCTGGATATAATAAAAGACCAGCCATGCGAGGGAAATGATCATCAGGACAATGAAGGAGATGGAGACAAACACAACCGAAGTGCGGCTCACATATTTCTGCAAGTTCCGGGTTCCGATGGTGATGTACATCGTCACGGTGATGTTCCTTTCCAGCAGGCTTACTATCTCCTTCCCTTTGGGCTCAGGAATCATTATGGCCACAATGTCTTCCACACCTGTGGCGAGAAGGGCGAGGAAGGGGCAGTCGGGAAGGGGTAGGGGTGGAGGGAAATCATAGTGAAATGTCTAGATGAGGAACCATGCACACAAACGATGACACTGCTTTTGAGAATTTCATGCTGGGCTGAGAACACCTAACAGGAATGAAAACCTATTTCTTTCTTCAGCTACCAGGGAGGCTACTGAAAGAAACCTCTGTTGAATTCATGATTTTTGGCACCGGCAAGGTCACAGGCAGCTCTTTTTAACACCATGGCTCTGCCCCTGGCCCAGAATCTGGTAGACAGGGACCCTTCCTGGTCAGCCCAGTTTATAATCCCATGCTGCATTCCACAGATCCTGAGGCAGGCCAAGGGCACTCAGCACACAGGGCAGAAGGCAAAATGCCCAGGGCTGTGCACTTGAGAGCCCCTCCCCTTCCCAATACAGACCATGAACGCTCAATTACAGATCTTTAGGTACTGCTTCCAAGGCAATTTTCTCCAACAGTGAGTAGTCGAGCAACCAAAACCAGTTTCTCAAAGAATTCTAATATGATTTGCCACCATAAAATAATGGTCCCACAGCTATTCTTTGCTTATTTTACCTCATTCAGTGGAAGCAGCTGAGTGACCTCATCCCAAGCAAAGGAAAGATGGCGGCAAATAATGCCAGGACTGTTTTACTTCCCCCACTCAAATATCCTACCACTGTGTTGCCTCTGTTATTAAACTGTGCAAAACAAGTGGGCCTGAGCTATGTAGGTCATAGTCCTGCTGCTTCACGGCAGTGTGAGGCATGGTCTGTGGGTGAGGAGTTCTAGGATCTCCACGGAGGGGGCTATTTACTAAAGTTATGACACCAGGAACCAATCTAACTGGTTGCTGGGCTGATACACAGAAGACAGTATCAACTGTACTAGGGTTTGTGTTCACCACATTCAAATCCAAGGGGAAAGACACAAGATGACTAGTGCACATAAGCCCCCAGATGGGGGCTTGGATCCACATGGAAACTTTATTCCATTATTTGAGGTGACTGCGCATCCAGGAGAGCCCATGTACAACTAGGACATTTTAGATTCTGGACAAAATGAAACCCCACAGTAGCTGCTTCAGGTGGGCCACAGCCACCTGCTGCAGTCACTTAGCGAGATGGGACCAGATCACAGTGGCTCTGAGTGTTGCAGGTACTTAGCTGCTACTTAGAACTTTCCTTTGACCTTGATCTCCATGTAGATTTTCAATCTTACATTCCTTGGTGGTGGTTCACTAATGCCAACTGCTTTACCAGCTAACTGTATTAGAACCACTTACAAGTATTTGTCACTATGCAATATTTTTATGTCGTTAACAAGGATACATGGTATAGTACAGTTTAAAATTTCCTACAACCTTTGCATTGCTCTTGCTGTAAAATCACAAATCAGAGATTGGAGTTTGGCTGCTGTTCCTGAGAAAGACTGAAACCCATGGCTTGAATTCCAACATTGCAGAATTTACTGACATTTCTTTTGCTCCTCCTTCCTTGCCTGTTTACTTTGGCTAAGGGCTGCATGTGGTCTGGGGTTTTGTGAGGGATTAAGGCTGCTGGCAGGTTTTTCCTCTATAGAAACATGATCTTCAGATACTGGATGAACCCAGCCTAGGGAGGCTCATCCTGGGGCTGCAGCTATTTTAGAAATATTTCAGTAATGGTAGAATCATTTTTCATTTATTTAATGTATTAAATATATATATTTAAGGCATGTTTATTTAAGGCTTAAGAATTAAGAGTTCTTTTGAAGATAGGGTCTTAGGGTTAAGAATGAGACTTTATGCTCAGAAATTCCTAAGTTTCACAATTTTTAGTCAAATTTTATTAATATGTGTTCTAATGGCTTCCAGTTATCATACTCTGCTTAGACAGTTTTGTCTCCACCCAAACTTACAGAAATGCTCATTTCAGTATTTTTTTTCTTGTACAGACAGGGTTCACTATACAGTTCAGGCTGTCCTTGAACTCACTTTGGAGCCCAGGCTGTCCTTGAACTCAGGGTAATCCTCCTGCCTCAGCCTCCTGAGTGCTAGGATTTTACGTATGTACCACCATGCCTGATTGGGTATTTTTGAATGTTTACTTTTCATATGTAAATTTTGAATAACTCCAATGTGATTCAAACAACAATACAATATTTATTGAGTTCTTAAAATGGATAGGTAGAAAGGAGAGAGATTAGGGCTTGGTTTTCTCCCTAAAATTTCAGGTATATATAGGTCTTCTCCTCTACTCCAACCCCATGAATTTACCTATCTTTTGCTCAACCTGCACCAGAATTTTAGTCGTGTAGTTTTTAACCTGTTTCGCATCTGGTAGCCTCAATGCTCTTTCCCAGTTCCTTCACCCACCCTATAATCTTCCCTCATGTACTTACACATGAGACCACAGAGTCCAGCAGATGATCTGGTCTCTAAGCAGCTTGTTTTAAACCCCACTTCAGCACTTTAAAAATAGGCAACCAAATTTTGGATCTCCACAAGTTTAACTTACTCATTATCCATTTTCAGGGACCTGAGGAAACACTGTCTCTTCCTTTAGGGGAAGGTATAATTAACTATTTTAAAGCATTTATTTTAAACTGAGATGCTTAGTGACACTTCTTGGGTTGTTTACACCAATGTTGTGCCTTCAAAACATCCACCAGGAATGGCAAACAGAAACAGTGCAAACAGCAGAGTGTGTGTGTGTTGGGGGGGGGGTGTCTATTCTTCAGGACTTCAACCTCATCCATTTTTAATATTCATAATTAACTCCAAAAGCTGATGATGCTAAGCTTAGACACAATGCCAGGCTTGGTTTTCTCTCTATGCTTTAGGTTGTGTATTGTGCATAGTAAAAGAATGATCCTGTGGCTAGAAATTTATCTCAATAGTCATTAAGAATTTAGGCACCTAGGGTGTCCAACAAGCAGTACAAAAGGAAACAGAGTTGAGTGAATTATCATTCTGATGTACTCACACAACTCAAGGCCAAAAGCTATTCCAGCAGTTAATTTTCCAAATGCGATGTGTGTGTTGATGATGTACACAGCCAGGCTGTTTCCTGGTCACTGCTTCATTTTGGAATGTGCAGCTGCAGGGTCAGGTGGCAGCCAGCAGAGTGTCCCAGGTGCGCCTCCAGCACAGCTGAACCTGTGCATGTATGTGAGACTGGGGGAAGGGGGAGGAGAGAAATAGGCCAAATGGGTATGGGGCAGGATAGTGAGAGCCCAGGGGTGCAATCTCAGGGTTAAACGTTGTAGCTATGTCCTGTGTGTATATGACACAATGGGATCTCAGAGTCTCGGAGACAGGAATGGACAGCATATTTTATATGGGTAAAATCCACAGAGGGTGCGCTAGCTGGGTAACTCCATGTTAGCTGTGACACCTAGCTACTCTTAATATTGAAATGCCTCTTTTTGCAAAATTACATTAGCCTACCAACTACCCTCTATTTTCCTCCCAAAGGCATTTCATACTTGCGAGTGGTGAGTGATTGCTCTTAGGTAATTACTGTGCTTCTGGAGAAGCTCTGCAGTCCCAGGGGAGACTGTGGAGAAGCACACACATGACTTGGCTGCCAGACTAAAGCCCAAGCATCCTGCACTTTTAGTACCTCCTTTGTCTACAAGAGCACTCAGCTACCACGATATAATTTGCTATATGCAGGTACTGGAATCAAAAGTTGACCAAGCCAACAATGCTTAATAGCTAGAAAAGCCTTGTTTCTTATAAATTCAAGCTGGGTTGTTTAAACGCTGCACTGATAAAACGTCTCGCACGTCACAAGTGCTAAACATTACACAGAGCTCAGGGTGCCATTGTTGCCCGGCATTCCAGAGGGTGTGAACATCCTTCCTTGGGTTCCTGTGACCAGAATTCCATTTCTAATCTCCTGCACCTTTCTCTTCCCCAATCTGTACTCCAGTCTCACTTTTGGCCCTGTAGGATTTAGGCAATTATAAGAAGTTGCACTGTTTTAGATTTTTTTTGTAGACATGTTTTGTAGATATTTTCCACTTATATACTTCTGTTGACTTTTTAAAATATGGCCAGTTTCTGATTATCACCTATTAATCATGAGAGATAATGTATGTGAAATGGTTTTTAAAAACTGCAAGGTGCTGCTTAAATGTAAAAAGTGTTCTTATACTTTCTGCAACAAATGTATTTTTAGGGCACACTGATGCAAAAGTCCTAAATAAAGTACCTCCAAACAGAATCCAACAATACACTAAAACAATCTGCATGCCTATGTGGTAATTATTCTGGGAATGTAAGGATGATTTAATGTAAAATTTAAAATTTTTTACATTAACAAAGGGATAAAAGCATATGATTACTTGAATAATATAGTTCATTACCCTCTTGCATTTGGTCTTTCCTCTGTAGTAGTTAGTGCTTCAGTAGGGCACAGGCTGTCCAGTGACAAGTATCAATGCCCAGTTTCCTTGGCAGCTACATGTGGCTATCAATATTTGGCCACTGAGATGTTGAATGGAAGTGATGTTTTTGGATTCCAGGGTTTTCCCATAAAATAAAAGCAAGGTCTCCCTAGATCCCACTCCTTTTCCTTTCTGACTTGTGATGTGGAGTAGCCAGTCCCTTAGACTAGAAAGTCATCAGCAGAGATGGCATCTATTTGTGATTATTATGAAGAGGAGAAGCAAGTTCCCATAATGTGATAGAGTATCATGCAGACATATTACACTTAATGGGAAAAAAAAAATCAGCGGTTTCCCAGTTGAAATCATGAATAAGTGAGAATGAGCCAACACTGAAAGTAGAAATCATAGTGGTGGCAAGTCTTGGAAAGGAAGAGCACAAGCTGTCATTGTTTGGGGTATCACATGGCCGTGTATGACAGCTATTAAAGTCAGAAAACTGCTTAAGAGGCAAGATACAAGTTTGAAATATAAAAATGAAGAACTTCTGATACACCTAATCAGAAAATGTAAAGAAAGTAATCTATATGGAATAACCCTAGAAGTCATAAA